CGTAGACTCCGCGCAGGAAAGAGTAACAAACATACATACTTTCATCCATCCTCACAAACTTTCACATTTATAATATAATGTAACGAATCTGAAGCCGTCCCTGACCGATACACCGGTCAGCGAACAAACACATGACATCACCGTAAAAGGAATGCAGTCGGCAACCGCCGATTAAACTCTAGTTGAGTTCTGAAACAACTATAGAATTCTAGAACGATCGTTACCGATATATAAGGCCGGCTTGTCGTCCCAAGAGGGCAGTTGAGTTCAGAAAGTGAATCGAGCGGTTAAACAAATAATTCAAACAGTGAAAATAAATTAAGTGCTGAGTGTTATAAATAAATTAGTTTGCGATAGTGAAATATTGTTACTTCGAACCCGAATGAAAATCGTAGCACTGAAAATCTCGGCCACGAAAGCTTTAACCAATTCCTCAAGCCTTTTCATACTTTAATAATAATTCTCAACATCTACCCAGTACAACGACAACTTTAATTAATCTCATCTTTTATCAAAAAACTAGACGCTTTCTCAATTCTGTTTTAGATAATTATAATCCCAGCAATTTTTTTTATTTTAGTCGTAAATATCTGCAGAGTAGATGAACATAGCCGGTTTCATTACACCGGAAATTCAACTAACAGAAGCAATGAAGTACATAATTATCCGTACGTTTTCGACCGTTTTCCGTGCGTTTTAGATCGTTTTTCGTGCGTAACCGTGACATACTTGACCAACTGCCCCACGAAAAGCGTTACGAAAAAAAAAGGATCTTTTTTTCGTGTAACGTTTTTTCGCGTAACGCTTTTTGTGTAGAGTTTTAGTGGCGCAGTTGGTCAAGTATGTGACGATTACACACGAAAACACACGAAAAACGATCTAAAACGCACGAAAATGGTGTAAGAGGCACGAAAAACGGTCTAAAACGCACGAAAAACGGTCGAAAACGCACGAAATACGATCTAAAACGCACGAAAAACGGTCGAAAACGCACGAAAAACGGTCGAAAACGCGCTGAAAACGGTCGAAAACGCACGGAAAACGGTCGAAAACGCACGGAAAACGGTCGAAAACGCACGGAAAACGGTCGAAAACGCACGGAAAACGGTCGAAAACGCACGGAAAACGGTCGAAAACGCACGGAAAACGGTCGAAAACGCACGGAAAACGGTCGAAAACGCACGGAAAACGGTCGAAAACGAACAAAAAACGGTCTAAAACGCACGGAAAACGGTCGAAAACGCACGGAAAACGGCCTAAAACGCACGAAAACGGTCTAAAACGGTCGAAAACGCACGGAAAACGGCTTAAAACGCACGAAAAACGGTCGAAAAAGCACGAAAAACGGTCTAAAACGCACGAAAAACGGTCGAAAACGCACGGAAAACGGTCGAAAACGCACGGAAAACGGTCGAAAAAGCACGAAAAACGGTCGAAAACGCACGGAAAATGATGTACTTCATTGCTTCTGTTAGTTGAAATTCCGGTGTAATAAAATCGGCTTTGTTCTTCTACTCTCCAGCTAGGCCAGAAAGTCATATAAAAATACTAGAAAACTTACCGTGAACCCGGAGTTTCAAATTTATAGTACTTTTGATTGTCCATTATGAACGCTTCTGCGTGGGTTCTTCTCTTCTTCTTGTTTCTTCCACTGGAACAAGTACTATCCATTGAGTGGTCATCTTCAATCCTAAATTTCTGAGAGCTAGCGATGGAGTTTTCATTATCGCTGCAGGACAATGAAATACTTTCATCATTTTCAACTGAGCTAGTAATGGTGTTAACTTCATCGTCGACCTCTTCAAATTCTTCGCTAGATTCGTCATCCTTTTTAGGAAACAAAAAATTTGTCGCCTCATTGTTCAATCTAGTTAGTTCGGAGTTGCGCATTTTTTTGAATTTGACTATAAGAGCTTTCTCTTTCTCTTCATCTCTCTTGGGAGATTTCGACTGCTGCCTTCTTGTTGCTCCCTTTTCTTTCACGCCAACGCCCGATCGCGGTTTTGGGGAAACTACTTCGACTTTATAGAATGTTTTACAATTTGTAGTCGGTGGCGGTTCATCTACCGAGTGGCGCTTTTTACCTATACAAGTTCTTTTAGGTCTTCCGGAGTTCCACAACTCCTCCTGGATATTTTCTCCAGTCAATTTCTGAAAAGAAGTTCAACGTGGAAAATTATATTCAAATATTTATTTCAATGATGAACAAAAAAGTTACTAACACAGTTTGACATAGATAAAACAGTTTTTGTTAATTTTACAGTTCACTGTCAAGTTTAAATGTAGATTTTCTATGATATACGAGAGGGGGTCTGAAAAGTTTCCGATTTCAACATGAAGATGGCAGCACTCGTGAATGAAAGCTAGTGAGTTTCGTTGTTCATCTGTTGATAGTTACTCACCAAAGTTTCAGCCATTTTGGACGCGCAGTTGTTGTTTAACAGTCGTTTGAGTGAGTTGATGTAAATGTTTTTTATAAAAATTTCAAATCTAATTTCTTTGGGCTCCCTCACATATCGGAATAGAGGGCAATGAGAAGGCCGATAGTTTAGCCAAAGATGCCACAGAACTTCAAGAGTGCACAACCATCTAAAACCGCATATCAGAAAAGCCGTAATATCCAAGCGGCAAACAAAATGGAACTTATCTAAAGCCAAACTTTCACTTGAAGTTAGCGGCACTCTCAAAGGCCAAAAAAACCAATACATAGAAATGAACCGGCGGCGAACTAGTCCATGTGGACTGTAGCCATCTGTCGCCCCCATACGAACGACAACTCTAAGAAGTTGAGAAACTTGTGCGAGCTAAGGACTAACGAGGTCTTACGTTTTAACATGTGATTTCTAACACGGTTGCAGAATCATCCCAGCTTCAACCAGATTAATTCTCTCGAGAAAAATATCTACCATCTAAAACCGCATATCAGAAAAGCCGTAATATCCAAGTGGCAAACAAAATGGAACTTATCTAAAGCCAAACTTTCACTTAAAGTTAGCAGCACTTTCAAAGACCAAAAAAACCAATACATAGAAATGTACCGGCGGCGAACTAGTCCATGTGGACTGTAGCCATCTGTCGCCCCATACGAACGACAACTCTCAGAAGTTGAGAAACTTGTGCGAGCTAAGGACTAACGAGGTCTTACGTTTTAACATGTGATTTGTAACACGGTTGCAGAATCATCCTAGCTTCAACCAGATTAATTCTCTCGAGAAAAATATCAGGTCGAGGCGGGAATCGAACCCACGGCCTTCCGATCGTGAGTCGGGCGCACTACCACCGCGGCCAATTCCACAATTAGATAATTTTTACTAACCGAGTTTTATGATTGGCTGAAAAGTCATAAAATTAAATTTGAAATCATGTTACGGTGATGAATCAATGTTCAGTTCAGGAACTGATCCCAATTTGAGTATTAAAATTTGATATTGGTGCAGTTATAATTACTATACATTTTTGTCATCTGTTCAAAATGTGGCGTCCTTGGACAATTACTAATAGTACTAATAACGAGTGTGATAACAACGTAGACTTTTTTCAGCGAAGTGATTCCAATAGCGATGTTGAACAATGCGAAAAAGATATACCAATGAATAAGATTTGGATGCATTTAAATATTGAAACACACAGAGAATGTTTCAAGTATATAAGAATCTACATCTCAAGTTTGGTTTCGAGGGAAACAAACTTTTACAAGCAACATCAGATATGACCGAAATTTCTTTCTCAACTGTACGTAAAATAGTTAAAAACAAACCTTATGAACACAAGACGCGATGTGATACAGGATTACCAAAACCTTTAGATTGTTCATCTAATAAAATCATTGAGAAAAACAATATACGACTGTTACAAAAGCAATGAGATTCCTACAACTGAAATCATAAGGAAAAAATTGATTACTTCCGGCCATAACGTGAGCTGCTGCTATTTTAAATCTAAGATTTAGATTTAAAATAATAAACAAACGTCAAGCAGTTATGGAAACCAGAAGAGAAGTGGAATTGCGTAACAACTACTTAGAACAAATAACTAAATATAGACAAGAACAACGGCAAATTTTCTATTTGGTCGAAACTTGGTATGACACTCACGACACAGTTACGGAAGGGTGGACTGATGGATCGAGAATGTGTACGCCTAACATGCCTGCAAACAAAGGATAGCGACTAATCATTATGCATTGAGGAAGAAGTAAAGGATGGGTTCCGAATTTTTTGAAATTATGTGGAAAAAACCTTGAGGACTGTAATGTTGACTATCATAAGAACATAAAAGCTAAGATGAAATACAAAGTTTTTTAATGGATGACAATTTGTATTTTGAAGATAACTGTACCAAAAACCAACTACTTGAAGTTTTACAGACAAAAACATTTGAAAAAGTGTATGCCCTTGAGAGTATTGCTGAAAAGTATGGACACATTGATAGAGACTTCCTCCCTATTTTAGTGTTTTCGATCCCATCGAGTTGATTTGGGGAAAATTGAAACAAAGCATCAGGCGTAAAAATAATTTTCCAAAATTTGATAAGAAGGTAATAGAGCTAGTTAAAGAAGAAGTATCTAATATTACCGAAGAAGACTGGCAAAAAAGGACTAAAAAAGTAATTTTTGGTGAAAAAGACTATATGTAAGATTACTCTCTTGCCTGTAATTGGTAAAAACTTACTTTTATGAAACCTTTTACTCCAACTGCTTAGTGATAAAATTCCAAGTTGCCTGTTTGGATTTAGACAAGGAAGATCTACTATATATCCTCTCACAATTCTGACAAACAACATTGAAACAACCAAGGTGAACAACAACAAAACGGCAGCGTTCTTTCTGGATATCAGAATCAGAATATGCTTTATTGTCGAAAGAATACAATTCTTGTTGACAAAGTCAGTTGTCGTACATGGAAGTATGTTAAAATATAGTTAAAATAACACTTACAGATGTATAAACACAGGATCTGATCAAATTAGAGTAAATAATGGTACATATATATATAGATATATACACCCATCCATACATACATATTCACATAATTGAGCCTCAGCAATGACAGATATAGATAATGAGTTCATTCTGGCTAGTCACAAATG